TTTTTTAAATACTAAAAAGAGGGAAACTATTTTAAAATGTGCTGAATAACTTGTGCATTCTCTTGTGTAAATGTAAGATGTATAAGAGGATTTGGAGGCCTTGTTCCCTCCATTGTATAGATTATAAAATGCGCTATATGTAAAATAAGTGAAATGATATTAGGTTATTGAAATGCAAGGTCAGTGTTCTCTTTTATTCCTTTTTTTTTGCTGCTACACTTCAAAATTAAGATGACGTGTCTTTAAAAATATGCAGTACCCCTTTCCCCAACATAAGCCAAGATTTAACTTTATATGAACAAGTTCTTAAACTGCAGCCAATAGGAAGCTTATCTGTATTGTTCAAAGATGTAGACTTATCTTTGATTGCACTGTACAATATCAAGACCTGTATACATAACAGTTTTTCTCAGTTAAAATTTCCTGTTTTTTTCCTTTAGCCTATTTATTTTTCTTTTTACTGACATCAACCATTGTGCCTTCTTAACTTTTATTTTCTTACAAAATTAATTTGTCAAACTGTTAATACATCACTATACTGTTAAGGGTCAACATTGTCACTGACATGGACTATCAGTGTAATGTTATCATCTGTTTTATGACTTCTCATAGTTTTACACATCCTTTTAATTGTGAAATGGTCTATGTCTAGTACAGTTTGCAATGAACAGCAGGAATATGGGTCTAGTGTTTCCTGTTACATTGTTCCATTATATACTAATTTGCAGTCTACATTTATATACTTGAAGGGGTGGTTAAATGACACTTTTTTATTTTCTTTTATGGTTATTTTAGCCATACATGAGTAAGCTTCAGTTTATCACTATATATGCCCCAGCTAAAGTTTGGGAGACATCAGGTAAACATGTTGTTTACCCAAATATCAGTCAGAAAGGGAAATTTGCATGTGTGCAAAAGGAGATTTTTGTTTGTTTGTTTGTTACCTCTTTTTGTCATCTTGTTGGCTGCTTTGTAAATAGCAAAAGCCCTGCGCAATTGTTTACCTGGTAGTTGCCCACTGGGCTTCTCCCACAAGGCCAGTGTAGGGACAGATAAACAGCTCTGGTGCTAGTCTTCCTAGTATTCTGTCTGCAATTCAGTTATCTTTCTTAGGTCCAATTTCTGATAAAAGCTCACTCATTCAGTATTGGTCATGTCACTGCCATATTAAATGCAGGGAAAAGGTGTTAATGTAAGTGGCAGCTTCTCTCACTCTCCTTTTCTTTCTCTCTCTTTATTTAACAAAATGTTTTTTAACAAAAAAAAAAACAGGTAGCTACTGTATCTGGAAAACAAAGCAACACAAAATAAGTAAAATAAAGCACATGTACAGCTTGAGGACAGAAGTGGCTTGGGCAAATAGGAGACAAGGGTAGGGGATGGGGGTCCTGCATAGGGGTTTTGTTTCAAATGTATGTCATGCCATATAAATTATTTATATTATATTTTTATTTTTGTAGTTTGTACAGATGTTAGTCACTAGACTGAAGTTATATTTTTAAAGAGTAAATATATTATAAATATAAATATAATATTATATCTATTTGTTTCAGAGATTTTTTGTTGTTTTATTTTGGGGGTGGGGGGAGTTTGGGTGGAGCAGGCTTTGAAATCTTCATATTGCTGTTGGAAATAATGAAGCAAAGGGGTGGCTACGATTGTCCACCTTGTGTAGGCTCTTTGCCTTTCCTTCTTCATGTAAAGATTTGAAGAGTTTCTGTTTTTGTTGTTGTCTAAAACACTGTGACTTCAGAAAACTTTGAGGAAAAAAGAAAAGAAAAACCATTTGTGACCATCATTTCTTTCACCCTTTATAGGAATTCAACTAACAAAATAAAAAAAATAAAAAAAATCTTATCAGCTCTTATCGTTTTTCTTTGATGGCTGCTTTTTGTTTGAAACATTATCATATTTTGATATTGTTTGTATACATTATACCAAACAAATTTTGTCATTCGAAACAAAAAGCCACACTATTTTGGGTGACTAAATACTAAAAAGATATGAGAGGTGATAAGGTGAGGGGAGGGAAGGCAGTTTAGATGTATCAGCTTCACACTTCCTGTTTTATTGTTGTGACTCCCCAGGCTAGTGTCCTCAGTACAATAAGCCCACCAATGAAGATGAAAGGCATGTGCTGTAAATTCCTCGGCTTCACACAACACGGTTCATCTGTCAGCTACCTCGGGCCTGTCTGAATCTGATACACCTCTAGCTTTTAAAGTTACTGTCGAGGCCCCTTAGTATCAGGAAAGACAGAGAGCGGGTCAAGGGTTTTGCCTCATGAAGTCAGAGAGCAGCGATTGAGGCCGTGGGGCACGATCACGTTCTACATGTTAGGGTTTCGGTTTCTCAAAAGGAACGTGCTGAAAGCTGCTGCCTTGTCAAAACTACTGATGTGAAACTACAATACCTTGCAAAGCATTTACAATATCTATGTTTACATGCACCCAAATGATATAGTAATCGGATTGCTGGCTCAATCACATTTAAAAAAGCCTTCATGTAAGCATCTTAATGGATCTGACTGAGCTTGATCTGAATTAAATTTCAACTGGATTGAAAAAGGGAGTGTAGACATGAAATATTTCAGGCAATAGGAAAAAAACAGCAAATGCTTGAATCCAACCATCTTCTCAATCAGATTCATCATGTGCATTGCAGTTTGTTTATAATACGATCTCTGATGTTTACATGCATTTGACTTATTTCTAACATTCCTATGTTTATTTTCAACGAATGAAAACTCTTCTGAGCAGCATTTCTGGATTCATTTAGCTTGACGAAAATTAGTGCATGTAAGTGTACCTATTGAAAAATGCTTTTACAATAGAGGTTTGTGGGCCAACAAGCAAATCAAAGTTTAAAGGCACTATCAGATATCATTCAAATGTTAGGTTAAGGTGGCCTCTGCATTAATGTATATAACAGGATTTGGTGGACAATTTTAATGTGACTTTAGACTGTATCCTCTGGCATTTAACAGGTTATAAACACCAAAGCAAGGTAGGAAAATTCTTGATGTATGTGCCAAGATGCAGAGCAATAAATTAGAATGTCGTGGAAAAGTTCATTTATTTCAGTAATTCAACTCAAATTGTGAAACTCGTGTATTAAATAAATTCAATGCACACAGACTGAAGTAGTTTAAGTCTTTGGTTCTTTTAACTGTGATGATTTTGGCTCACATTTAACAAAAACCCACCAATTCACTATCTCAACAAATTAGAATATGGTGACATGCCAATCAGCTAATCAACTCAAAATACCTGCAAAGGTTTCCTGAGCCTTCAAAATGGTCTCTCAGTTTGGTTCACTAGGCTACACAATCATGGGGAAGACTGCTGATCTGACAGTTGTCCAGAAGACAATCATTGACACTCCTCACAAGGAGGGTAAGTCACAAACATATATTTGCCAAAGAAGCTGGCTGTTCACAGAGTGCTGTATCCAAGCATGTTAACAGAAAGTTGAGTGAAAGGAAAAATTGTGGAAGAAAAAGATGCACAACCAACCGAAAGAACCGCA